TTCTTGCCTTCTCCATATGCATTTTCTACCCTTTTGCAGCATGTCAGGTAGGGATATCCAAATGGGGTAGTAAAAGTGTGCATGAGAAGTACTGGACAGGCTCTCAGAGGAAGGAAAGATGAGAGGGGCACCATGGAGACCCTGGGGAAGGCTGAGCTGGGCCTTTAAGGATAAGTGATGTACGGGTGACGAAAGGCAAAGGGCTGCACAGGGGTCAAGACCGATGCTGACACTGTTGCCTTGTGTCCCCAGCGTGTGGAAGACCAAGTGAACGTGCGGAAGGAGGAGCTGGGAGAGCTGTTTGCCCAGGTGCCCTCAGTGGGAGAAGAGGAGGGAGGTGCAGACTTGAGCATTGAGAAGCGGTTCCTGGACCTCCTGGAGCCCCTGGGGAGAAGGAAGAAGCAGCTGGAATCGTCTAGAGCCAAGCTGCAGATCAGCCGGGACCTAGAGGATGAGACGGTGCGTGGGCCACAGTCCCCTCCGCAGCTGCCACATTAGCATGACTGGCTGCAGGGGACTCTTGGTTGCAGGTGTCTGGCCCTCTCACCCCTTTATCTGTGGGCTGTTGTGAGGATTACATTGAATATTGAAGTAAAACCAGGGCATTTTGAATATAGCTCACTCATAGACTTTGGAGCCAGATAGACTGGAGTTTAATGTCCAGTCACATCACAGGTCATCACACAGTTACTTGGAACCTTGACTCAGAGTATTTGTAAAGGGGAGATAAAACTTGGGATATTGGGAGGGACCAGGGAGATGGCAAGCAGAGCTCTATCTGGCTCATGGTGAGAGCTCGGGAAAGGGAGGTCATCATTTTCACTGCTGTCCCTGCTTTCTGGACCTACAGCTCTGGGTGGAAGAGAGACTGCCACTGGCCCAGTCGGCCGACTACGGCACCAATCTGCAAAGTGTGCAGCTGTTCATGAAGAAGAACCAGGTAAGTCCTGCCTCACTGCCTCACTTGGTCAGCCCCACCCTCCACGCCTCCTCCTCCCTGCCCAGAGAGGTCCAGCACTAACATGCAGAAGGCCAACAACAGCAAGGTGGTGTCCTTGTAGATAGTTGATGGGGCCCCAGAAAGAGCAACTTTGGTGATGGCAGAGAATTTTGAGAGGCCCACAGAGAGGGCAGGGAGCCGGTGCTTTGGTGTTGAGGCCATTCTGGGCACAAGTGAGTAAGCTAGAAGTGGTAGATTTAGGTGCCAGTTAACATCACAGCTCCCAATTATAGGAGGGGGGGCTGGTAGAAAATAGCTTATTCAGGAGCCTCAATTGTCAGTTGTAAAATAAGCCAACGAGTCTTTCTAACACTAAAGATTTTTGACTCTTTCTAGCCTCAGTAAGTGCTACTGACAAAGATTTTCCAAGCCACCTGTGTGAAGTTTGCTATTATAGAAAAGAGCAAGATAATATGGATGGGGGCCCCCTTGCCAAGAAAGCACAGGTAATCTCTAGGGAGAGCAAGGCCGCCCTGGTAACTCTCAGGCTAGTCCAGCGAAAGCCTAAATCTCATCTTATCACGCCCTCTGCCGCTGTGGTTCTCAAACTCCAGCGCTCATCAGACTCACCCAGGGGGCAGTTAAAATGCACGTGACCAGGCCGCACTCCAGATCTGCTGGCTCTGGGACTGACACCGCGGTTCGCATTTCTATCCAGACCCCAGCTGGGTACGAGTCGCCTATCCAGGCCCAGCTGGGTACGAGTCGCCTGCTGAGGCTGCCGCAGCCCTGGGCCTTGAGAGCACTGCCCTCATGGCTTCCCATGCAGCTGAAACAAGCCACCAGGGCACAAGAATGGGCGCCCTCTGGCTGCACACTAGACTCACCTGGGGAGCTTCTAAGCACACGAATGTCCACATCCCACGTCAGATCGATGGATCAGGATCTCTGGGGTGGGGTCCTGACGTGTTTTCCCTTGAGTAACCAGGGTTCAGAACCACTCTCCTGTCTGACCTGGCCTCTGCCTGCTCCAAACCCCCTCTCAGCGCTTTCACCCTCCTCTAGGGTGTCCCAGCTCTTCTGCCCCTCTGCCTGGTCTTAGGACGCACTGGCTCCCACCCTAGGGACTCTGCTTGTTCTTCCCTCTCGCCAGTGACGCTCACCCCCTGTTCCTTGTGTGGCCGCCTCCCGGCCCCCGCTCGTGTCTCACTCAGATCTGTCATCTCAGGAAGACCGTTCCTGACTCCGTACCTACAGCCACCGCCACACTGTGGAGACTTCATCTCGACGCAGTTTCACTGGATAGCGCCCATCCTCTGTATTTACCCACTAGTTGCACGCTGCCACCCATTCCCCCTAGCAGAGTAGAAACTTAACGAGACCATGGGTTTTGTTCATCTTGTTTCCATGTTGTCTCTAGACCACAGAGCAGGGTCTACTATACAGAAAGTAATAAATATTGAATGAATGGTGTCAGGGAAGAAGAAGACATCATAAATAAGCACAGGACCCCAGAAAGGAATTGTGCACAATGAAACACCTTTTAGGATACCTTGCAGAGGTCATAGGATCTCACAGAAAGTACCAAAGCAAGTGGAGCAGACCCTTTGGGTTGCTTGAAAACAGTTAGTGAGACCATGGGAAGTTGCCAAGATCAAGATTCCAAGTGTAAAATGTAAAAATGCATTTCCACCAGTTAGGTACATTTCAAAAGTTTAATCTCAGTAGTGCCACCATGTCCTACTCTTGGCTTTGTCCTCCAGATAATTTAGAACCAGGGGGAAGGATAGAAAGAGAAGAAATGAGTTGTGAGGAGCCATGGGCCCACATGGGCTGCAAAAAAGCACGCAGCCTTGGCCCTCCAACATCCAGAAAGTGAGTAACTAACTCTTGGCCACGTTTCCTGAAGATAAAAGGTGACTCCATCCCCAGAGTGGGAGACCAGGCCATGTGAAGACTAGAGGCTCACACTGGAAATAATACAAAGTGCCCAAAAGACTGGAGAGAGAGAGGTGGGAAACAAAACAAAGCCCTAGACTGAACAAGAGGCAACTGTCACTGTTGCTGGGGGTGGGGAGAAAGCTGTTGCAGCAAGTTACCAGAGGCCATTTAAAATGGTTTTCCTGCAGCTTGGAAGCCAAGCTCTGCTGACACAGGAAGAACAGGCGCAGTGGGGAGCATAGGCCCCGCCCGGCCCGGGAGGCCCGAGCTCTTGCTGGCTCTGCACTCGCTGCCCGGGTGACCTCCCACGCAGTGCGGGTTCCCAGGTGCTCACCTCAAGGTGCCATCCACACGGAGGACATGACTGGAGCCTCCAGCACCATGCGTGGCGTGTGGTCAGGGCAGTTTTCACGGCACCACCTGTTCGGCTCCAGCTTCCCGAGCTGGAGCACGGAGGGTCGGGGCCACGCGGGCGCCGGGCCCAGCGAAAGGCCCTGCTGCTGAACCTCCCTCTCACCTCAGACACTGCAGAACGAGATCCTGGGCCACGCGCCGCGGGTGGAGGACGTGCTGCAGAGGGGGCAGCAGCTGGTGGAGGCCGCGGAGATCGACTGCCAGGACATCGAGGAGCGCCTGGGGCACCTGCAGGGCTCCTGGGACACCCTGCGGGAGGCTGCGGCCGGGCGCCTGCAGCGCCTGCGGGACGCTAGCGAAGCGCAGCAGTACTATCTGGACGCCGGCGAGGCCGAGGCCTGGATCAGTGAGCAGGAGCTCTATGTCATCTCTGATGAGACCCCCAAGGTCAGCTCAGCAGGGGCCACCAGGCAGGGTGCCGAGACCGAGGAAAAGGCTGCGGTGGGCAGGCTGTGTGGGTCGCTGCAGGTCCCGACGTGTGAGGAGTGAGGCAGCATGGGGGCACCAGGAGCCCCCTGTGCTCCGTTGGTGCAGCCTCCTCAGGATGCCCCACCTCTTGAGGACACCCCCTATAGCAGGCATGCTGCAGCAGCAAGAACTGGCTCCCACCTTTCCTGTGCGGTGGGATCTGTGCTGCTGCACAGTGGTGGGAGGCGAGGAGGGGTCTGTAAAGGTGAAGTGTCCTGGGCACAGAGGTGGGAATGGCCAGGGAGAGAACTTAGGCAACTCTCAGATAAGAATCCAGGCGACGGAGAGAAGGTGGGCTGCAGGCACCGTGGGCTGAGTGCAGGAAGGGAGCAGCCTGTCCTGCGGGTGCCCACGGCCCGGCTGCCCCCACCCTGACCGTCCTGCTCCTAGGATGAAGAGGGCGCTGTGGTGATGCTGAAGCGGCATTTGCGGCAGCAGCGCGCGGTGGAGGAGTACGGGCGGAACATCAAGCAGCTGGCCGGAAGGGCCCAGACCCTGCTGTCTGCAGGCCATCCCGAGGGGTGCGTTGCGTGCGCCAGCAGGCAATTTGGCCAGGCACGGGCTTCAGGCAGGGGCCCCCTTCAACCAGTGTCTCTTTGGGCCCAAGGGGGCAAAGAGAGAGCTTTCCCAGAAAATATGGGCTTGAGAAAACTGCTTTTCAGACGGCTGATGACTGTGCCCCGTGTTCTGTGAGTAACTTCGAACCGAGTTAACTCGGGCCTTGTTTGCAAGGCATTCAGGGCTGCAGTAGCAAAATTTTGCTTTTGGTGAACCAAGGGCTCCACTCTTTGAAGAGGTAGAATATGCTGAGAGACAGAGCCATTTTGCTTCTCCTTTTATGGTCCAGAAAGACTTCAGGATCTACAACACCTCAGTAAAGTCACTAGGTAGGAGTGAAGGAGGATACCCATACTCCCCTGAACTGCTCAGGTGTGTGGGTTCTTCCCAGATGTGAGTCTACTGGGCCGCACACCTTGGGTTGCCCCAGGTGTGAGCCTGTCCTCAGCTGCCTTTAGGGCACCTACAGCTTGGGTCCTTGGCACTGAGAACTGCGCCCTGCTCCACACGTCCCTCCCTGCAGCCAAGCAGGCCCGCGGTTCCATAAGCCTCCTTGGGAAGCTAATACAGAAGGTCCCCACTTAGTCTGAGCTTCCCAGAGTGATACACCCCTGAGATGTCACAGGGTGATTCCTTCTCTCCCTGGCTATTCCCCAGAAGTCACAGCCATTTCTTCCATTCCTGCCACAGGTTTCGGGGGAGGGAGCTTGGCTTCTCTGAGCCGCCTGCTCTGGGTTCTGTCGATGTCTCTGAAAGCTGTTATTCTGAACTCCAGGGAGCAGATCATCAGACTTCAGGGTCAGGTGGACAAGCAGTATGCAGGGCTGAAAGACATGGCAGAGGAACGCAAACGGAAGCTGGAGAACATGTACCACCTGTTCCAGCTGAAGAGGGAGGCTGATGACTTGGAGCAGTGGATCGCAGAGAAGGAGTTGGTGGCCTCATCCCCAGAAATGGGGCAAGACTTTGACCATGTAACGGTGAGTACTCACAGCAAACGCCATCTTTTGTCTTACTCTGAATCAACAGCGTCATCCAGACACACAGGCCCTGGCTGGCCTCACAGCAGGGCAGACCCACGGGTGTGCATTCCAGCTGTCATCGGAAGGGCTTTCGGGGAAAGTCCATCGCTAGTATGCCGACACTGCCCACCCTGAACCCTGATAACCAAATTCTGTCTGCGCCACTTCCAGCTGCTCCGGGATAAGTTCCGAGACTTCGCCCGGGAGACTGGGGCGATTGGGCAGGAGCGGGTGGACAACGTGAATGCCATCATCGAGCGGCTCATTGACGCGGGCCACGGGGAGGCGGCCACCATCGCCGAGTGGAAGGACGGGCTGAACGAGATGTGGGCGGACCTGCTGGAGCTCATCGACACGCGCATGCAGCTGCTGGCCGCCTCCTACGACCTGCACCGCTACTTCTACACCGGCGCTGAGATCCTGGGCCTCATCGACGAGAAGCACCGTGAGCTGCCTGAGGACGTGGGGCTGGATGCCAGCACCGCTGAGTCCTTCCACCGGGTGCACACGGCCTTCGAGCGGGAGCTGCACCTGCTGGGCGTGCAGGTGCCTCCTGTCCTGTCCCTTGCTGCCCGCCACAGGCCCTTTGTCTTACCCATGAGCAACTTCCCAGGGGGCTCGGGGGTGTCAGCTTCTCTCCCGGCTTCTGGAGGGCCCCCCCTAGGTTGGGGTCCAGGCGATGTCACCTCCTTAGAGAGGCAACAGGCCAGGGCAGGAAGGCAGGGAGCAGAAGTCCTGAAGTAGTTCTTTAAATTGCATTCTTACAAAAACTGATACATAAAACACCTTAAAATGCAGTTTCTCTGGTGTGCACCAGCATGATTAGCGAACATGTATATAGTGCTTTTCTAAGCAATATGTGTAATCAGAGTCCTTATGGCCATTTCTGAAATAGTACTAGTACTGTCCGCTTTTCATAACGAGTCAAGCAAGACACAGAGATAATAAATGAGTTGCCCCGGGGAGGGCAGATAAGTGGAGCCAGGGTCAGACTCAGGTGTTCTGGGTCTAGACCCTGTGCCCTCCTCTCAGCACTGGGTGCCTCTGATGTGCTTCCATAGGGTCCCACATAGCTCAGTGGGGCAGTGAGGGCACCGGCCGGAGGGAGGGGCTGCTGGGCTTTCAGTGCAGCAGGGAGAGACAGTGGGCTCTGCTGTACTGCGCCGACCCAGAGGGCGCAGGGTGGGGGCACCAAGGCAGGTCCCAGTTCGCAGGGAAGGAGGGACCCCGGGGACTTGTCCTACTGGAGCTAGGCCTGGTGTGTGGTCCCTGTGCCTGGGAGTCCCGAGGCAGGTATCACCCCCTGAGGGTCTCAGGGGTGAGGCTGCAGCGCCATGAGCCTGACCTCAGACTGGCCTGAACAGCTGTTTCTCGGAGACTTCCGCTTCTGGGGCAAACTTCCGCTTCCAGGCACACCCCTCTACAAGCAGAGTGACCTTAAGCCGGTCTGTTGGGCTTCCTGTGCGCCAGCTTCATCATCTCAAAAACTGATCATAGGAGAACTGTATGTGGTTGAAGAGAGTTATTTTAAAAAAGTGTTTAGAGCAACGAATGCTTAGTATGTTACTCTTGTTACCATACTTATGAGGAAATATAAGGGCAGAGTGCCCGTCTCAGTCCCGCATCTTCCTCAAAGCCCAGGGATGCCAAAGCAAGATGCCTTCTTCTCTAGCACCCCCTGGAAGAGACCGGGATCCAGCAGTGCCCTGGGGAGGGGGGCCAGGACAAGAGCGCACCCCTCGCCCACCCCAGGCTGAGACACATCTGTCTGGGAACGACATCCAGTTTCCCCAACCACAGGTACAGCAGTTCCAGGACGTGGCCACACGCCTGCAGACAGCATATGCAGGGGAGAAGGCAGACGCCATCCAGAACAAGGAACAGGAGGTGTCTGCGGCGTGGCAGGCGCTGCTCGATGCCTGTGCGGGGCGCCGCACCCAGCTGGTGGACACGGCAGACAAATTCCGCTTCTTCAGCATGGTCCGCGACCTCCTCTCCTGGATGGAGAGCATCATCCGGCAGATCGAGACCCAGGAGAGGCCCAGGTGAGGGAGGCACCCCCTGTCCTGGCTGACCAGGACACCCATCTGGGCTGTGGGTCCACAGAACATGAGACCCGAGAATACACGAATATACCCAAGAGTGGCAAGAAAGATACTGCCACCGGGGCCTGGAGTGGGCCGCACTGCGACGGTCCGTGAACATGAGCAGTTCACGCATCAAACCCTGTTAATCCTTCCCCAGACTCTGGCATGCGAGGCAGGCAGGTGGGGGGTGCAGAGTGGGGAGGGGTAGGGGCAGAGAGCTGTCTCTGCATTTTGTCGTGTTCACCGTTCTTGCTGGACCACCCCGTCCACCTGCCCTCCGGGCCAGGCATTCATAGGTAACATTATTGATGTTATCGATACGCTGTACATATCAGCCATTTAAAGTGCAGTTTTTTCATATATTCAGTCCCACAGTCACCACTACAAAGTTTAGGTTTTCCTGATGCCAGGAAGCCCTGTACCTCTTAATGAGTCATCCTCCCTGTCCCTTCGTCTCGCACAGCCACTAAGGACTTTCAGTCTCCTAACTTGTCCAATCTGGACTTTCATGTACACAGGTTGAGGTGGCTTTCATTTAGCGGTCTTCAGGTTTCAAGCATGCTGCAGCGCGTGCCTTTACTTCCTTCCCTTTAATGGCCAAATGACATTCCCAGGCCACTTTGGGTGCCCCTCCCCAGCTGCACCTGGCCCCCGACAGGGAAGAGGCGAGGACACCAGCATTCCTGCTGGGACTGGGCTGGCAGAGGCTTCCCGGCTGGCCAGACTCGGCAGGTGGGAGGCCGCCCCGCTACCTGGTTCTTGGCAGCAGGCCAGAGGAAACCAACGTTTCTTTCTTCCCACATCCCTTCCCCACCTTACCTCTGGCCTCCCAGGGATGTCTCCTCAGTGGAACTGCTCATGAAGTATCACCAGGGCATCAGGGCGGAGATTGAGACCCGAAGCAAGAACTTCAGCGCCTGCCTGGAGCTGGGCGAGTCCTTGCTGCAGCGGCAACACCAGGCCTCAGAGGAGGTGAGGACAGGCTGGTAGAGTCCCTCGTGTCCTTTCCTTACTTCCTGGGAGGGACTCAGCGGAGACTTCTTCAAGGATGGGGCACTGGACTAGGTGCAAGCCCAGGGATTAGTGCCCCAAGCGCCCTCCCGGAGCCAGCTGCTGAGTGGGCGAGGACAGGCTCACACCCCACCTGATGCCCAGGTGTGGGCGTGCCTTGCAGGGGGTGGTGCCTGTATCCTAGCGAAGAGAGATTCAGTAAGTTGCCCGAGGCCGCACAGCTGGCAGGTGGCAGGGCCAGCCTAAGCCAGGTGTGTGTGACCAGCCTCCCCGCTCTGCAGGCCCCGCCTACCGCACATGGTGGGAGGTTACAGAGCCCGAGCTGTTCTCCCTTCCTCTCCACAGATCCGTGAGAAGTTGCGGCAGGTGGTGTCCAGGAGGAAGGAGATGAATGAGAAGTGGGAGGCCCGCTGGGAGCGGCTCCGCATGTGTGAGTGTGGCCGGGACCTAGGGAGCCTGGGGCCAGCGAAGGAGGTGGTGCCTGGCCACCCACTGCCCTCAGGAAGAGCCCCCGCTGCACCACTCATCAGCTCCGTTCCAGGGCCCAGGCCACAGTGTCCCCACCTCACACCTGAGTGGATGCACCACAGGAAGCGCACTGTAGCCAGAGTAGCCGCTCCCTGCCCCCTGCCCCGCCTCACGCCAGGCTGGCATCCCGCTAGAGCTGCTGCCTGGAGAGGCGTAGTGCCAGTGCGTCCTGAGGTTTGAGCGGACAGATTCCAGCAGAGGGGCTCTATGCTCCACAACAGGAGACAAAGGAGAGGTGGAGAAAAGGCCACCACTCGGGCCCAGAGCCTGGGAGGCCTGGGCCAGCCCACTGCTGCTAGCCCTCAGTTATGGGAGCTACCAGGCGGGGAAGAAGGCTCAGGGCAGAAGACCGCTCACTTGCATTTCATTTTTTAAATAGAGGGACACAAGGTTGGTTGCAGAATGGGGCTGGAGTGGCTCAGGCAGCAGGCTGTCCCCTGCACTGGGACTCTGACCACTGGCCATGTGTGTGTCTGCTGCAAGGCCCAGCACCCTGGCAGCAGCGGGCCCCTGGGTGTTAAAAGGCCCCCGTGTGAGTGTGGCTTGTTCTCCGTGGCAGTGCTAGAAGTGTGCCAGTTTTCGAGGGACGCCTCCGTGGCTGAAGCATGGCTGATCGCCCAGGAGCCCTACCTGGCCAGCCGGGACTTTGGCCACACAGTGGACAGTGTGGAGAAGCTCATCAAGAGGCACGAAGCTTTTGAGAAATCCACAGCCAGCTGGGCAGAGCGCTTTGCTGCCCTGGAGAAGCCTACCACGGTGAGCCTGGGAGATAGCTGTGCCCCCCCCCCCCAATCAAGGGCTCCTTTGTCAGTGTAATGAGCTTGGCAGGGGGAGAGTGGGGAGGGGAGAAGAGTGGTGGGAAGTCAGGGGATAACTCCAAAAGCAATGCTGGGGTGTGTTGGCATTGGGAGATATTTTCAGGGAACGGTGGTCTATGAGTAGGCCCCGCGTTGTGACTGCTCTGACCGCAGCCTTTTCCTTCCCCAGCTGGAGCTGAAAGAACGCCAGACCCCAGAGAGACCTGCAGAAGAGACTGGGTGAGTGGGGGTGGGGAGGGCTGGCTGAGGCAGGGAGGGAGTGGGAAGGAAAAGGAGGGCAGGCCACATGCCCCCTGGAATCCACACTTGACCTGACTTTCACAACTGAGCCACCCATTGGAGAGATCCAGGGTCTGGAGCTGGAAGACTGAGGAGCTCGCTTCCCCCAAATCACAGTGGCCTGAGGCCCCCACGTTAGAAGGGAGGGGTGTGGAGAGCAGTTATAGAACTGTCTCCCCACTCTGGGAGGGCCAGAGGCTGTTTGGCCTGGAGCCATGTCTTTTTCTGCAGACCCTTCTCAGTTTTTCAGTAAAGGCAGTTTGGCACTGCAAGGCCAGGACTGGGAGAGACTTGGCACGTGTTCCTGCGGCTGAGGGGTGGAGGCCAGGCCTTGGAAGAGGGTGCTGGCCTCAGGGAGGTGTGTGTTGTAAAAGAGGCACTGTCTTTCCTAGGCCTCAAGAGGAGGAAGGCGAGACAGCAGGGGAGGCTCCCCGACCCCATCGCGCGGCCACCGAGAGAACGTCCCCGGTCAGTTTCCTGTCCCATTTGTCTAGTTCCTGGGAGTCGTTGCTGCCAGAACCCGCTCATCCCTACTAGGCTCAGCCAGGGCCGAAGGCAAGGCCAGGCCGGCACTCGCCGCCCAACCCAGGCTCCTCCTTCAGATCCGGCTTCCTTTTTTTACTCAGGTTTTCTTAATTCCTAGAATAATTTCCCTCTTTCCTTCAACCCAGAAGAAACTAACATGCCAGTCCACTGACATGACTATTAGCTTTGTTTTATCTAGTCTAATAAATTTTATTGTATAAATAGATCACCATGTACAAAAGGGGAAACAGTTTATACAGGGTGATTTTTGTACTCCGTCCTCTCCCCATCTCCCCTCTAGCTGCATCCTTAAAGGGTGGTGGTGCCCCCTTCCCCACCCTCGCCCCAACTCACACCATCACACACCCCGCATATGCACAGTAGTACACATGCACTTTCTGGTCTTGCCTGCCCCACCACAGACAGCTGAGCAGTGAATTGAGGAGGCTGCCCCTCTGGCAGACTCCACCCTCCAAGGGGAGCCTTTCCTCACCGCCTGGGGCACCTCCCTGGCCTGAAGCCCGCAGGTCAGTGTTTGAATAAGGAGCTGGTTCTCAGGCAAGAGCAGACTTGAAGGAACCTGCAGGAGTGAGGGAGAGGCTCAGGGCCCCAGTCACAGGGCCAGTCACCCATCTGTAGCAAAGGAGGCATGTCAGAGTCCTGGGTGAAGGGTGGACTGGGAGGGAAGGACCCCAGCTGCCGGCAGCCTGGGGCACAAGGCTTCAGGACCAGTCCGGGAATAGGTCCCTTAGCTTAAAGGACTCAGGAGATCTGCAGGGAGCCTGGGCCCCGGGGCTGAGAAGAAAGCAAGAACTCAGCATGTGCCTTGCATGGCTTCACTGCATGTGTCCCACCTCCCCAGGTGTCCAGGTGAGCGTCTTTGACTGTTGAGGGTTTAAGGAGATTGGCATTGTAGGTGGAAATTTCTGGTATGCCAGCCACTCCAGAAAAAAACAAACACCTAGTAAGCATTTCCTGTACAGTGAGAATCCCTGTCACGTCCAGATTTCACTTCCCACACGTCGGAAACACAGGCTCACACTGAGCTCACTCTTGGCCGCGCCTCTCTGAGCTGCACCAGCTCTTCATGTCCAGCAGAGGGCTGCCTGGGAGCCCGCCCCAGGGTCTCCCAGGTGTTCCCTCTGGAGCTCCCGTTGTCACACATTGGGGGGTCTCTGGTGGCCTTCACCCCAGCCCCTGTTCCCAGCGACAGCCCTCTCTGGAAGGAGAGAGAACTTTGGTGACTGGCACGAACTTCAGAAATGGGCTGGACTGTCCCTGCCACCTGCCCCCGCCTGCGCTTCAGCTGTTTCCCTGTGTCTGTGTGCAGTGGTGACCTGGGCTGCGCGCTCCTGGGGACCCCTGAGCAACTCCTTCCTTTGTCTGTGTCCTATGCATCTGTGCAAATGTATTCACCCTGTGCATCAGAGCCGCCTCCACCCAACACCTGAATGTGACTAGGTTTTGGGGGTGGGGGGAGTTCAACCAGCCTGGACCTGAGCATCTCTCTGGAAGGAGGAAGTGAACCCGCTTTTGAGACTCTTCCCAGAGAGCAGCCACTCCACCAGATGGGAAAACTGGCCTGTGCCCGATACCAGGAAGAAAGCAGATGGCGAATCAAATGAACACTAGGCCCGAGGCCTCATGGAAAGAGATTTCCTGCTGCTGCTCCTTTCTGAGCCCTTTGTTGAGGTTTCATGGGGACCCATGAATCTCTGAGAGGGTGTGACGCTCAATTGGGCTTTGACGTGAGAAGAGGAGGTGGGTCCCACGCAGGCTGGGAACCTTCAGAGAAGCCTCGCCAGGAAGGGCCAGCTTGCGCTGCACCTGGTCCCGAGAGCCCTGGGTCACGGCGGCTCTCCTGCTGTCCCACGGTGTGGTCTGGTGTCGGTGCGCTTAGGATAGAGCGCGGTGGTGGCTTCGTGGGAAACCCCTCACTAGTGCATGCCGGCTTCCTGCTTGGGGGGACGGATGGGAGCAGATGGGGCACCCGAACCCCCGTCCGGACCCTTGCACACCGCAGAGTGGCCATCTGTCCCCTCCCCGCCACCGTGTGCTTGGAGTGCCCCTCCACGCTTCAGTGTCCTCGAGCACATCTCTGCGGTGCCATTGCTTCCCTCACCCATGAGCTTTGCACACCAAAGCCTGTCCTGGCAAAGCCCCATCCGTACATACAGGTAAGTACACCGAGGTGTGTGAGGTCAAGCGGAAGTACCAAGGACGGCTCCTGGGAGAGAAAGTCAGGGCATTCCTTGGGTCCTAGTCAATCCGCTAGAACTTTCCTGTATGATTTTAGACAAACCACTGGGTCTTCTCATCTCTGGGACTGCAGAAAGTCCAGAACACTCCTGTATGCTGACGCTTTACCTAAATTAAGGGAAGGGTGGGCGAGGCAGTTTCCTCAACTTCCCTCTAGTCTAGTCTGGGTCCTAAGGAACTGGCCCATTTCTCGGGTGTTTGCCTTTGTACCTTTGCTTGAGACAGGGAGTCAGAGGGTCCTTGGCTCCTACCAAAGTCAGTGCCTTGAAGGTGGCCTTGGGGTGTTGGGGGGTGGGGTCTCTGGCAGCAGGCAGAGCCATTTCCCTTCCTCTCAGGTCCTGGGGTACCCTTACCTCAACACCTTCCACGTCTCCCCCTCATCCTGGGTGTGGCCCTGGGAAGGTCTTGGGGGTGCTGCCAGATGTCCTCATCTGTCAAGCCCCAGCTGACCCCTGGTCAACATCTGTAGCAAGGTACTGGTTATTGGACGTTGAGCCTGATTTTGCAGAGAAGTGGTATTGAAGTGGGGCCGAGTCCCTTCAAGCTGAAGGTCCCCCAGCCAGCTGCCTGGGACATCTTTGCCCGCACCGTGTCTGTCTGCTGGCTCTGGGATGGCAAGTGGGATCTGCTATAGAAGTTCTCCCACCAGGTCTGCTGGGAGGACTAGAGCGACATCGCTGAAAGGGATTGGTGCTCCCAGGGGCTGTGACAAAAAGACTGACTTCAGGGTTCACGGCTTGGGGCAACCATGACCTGTCTTTTCCCAAACCCCAAAACTAGATCCAGTCAGTGGTGCAAGGGGAGGGGCCTGGGACACGAGGCCCCTCCAGAAAGCACTACCTGGGTGCCAGTCATGCCCCTTCATCACATTGCCGGGGCCTATTGCCCAAGGCAGCTCCCAGATGTAACGCCCAACTGTGCAGCTGGCTTCCCAGGAGGGGAGGGGGGATGGGCCTCTCATCAGGGCCCATGTGCAGAGTCTTACTTCCATTGTCTTAGAGGTTGACGTGGCTTCAGGGAAATAGCCAGCACTTGCGTATGTGAGGTTTTGAGCTGAGCGGGCACCGGGCCCTAGGCTGGCACACCTTGCAGCGATGCCTGGCTGGCTCCAGCTGCTACCCCCACCCGCAGCAATCTGGGCAAACCCCCCTTTCCCCTCTGCCAGCGGCAGGGACCCCTGTGGGGAGTTTGAATCAAGGACCAGCAGGACGTGGGTGTGGAGGCAGCAGCTGTGTTTCTTCTTGCCAGAGCAAGCTCCCCCTCTCCCACCCCTCCCCAAGCCTCTAGCTCAACTGCAGTCTCAGGCATTTCACAGTGAGTGCAAACTGTGTGTTTGTGGGTAGTGAGCAGACCCAGCCTGGAAAGAGTCAGTTTTCCCCTACACTGGGGTGTGTCCTTGTCTCCCCAGGATGCCTATGTCAGCCTGGCAGGGGCACGTCGGTCAGCCTGGTGCTGCGCCCTGGCACACCCCTGAAGAGACCCACTCTAGGCTCTTCCTGGGCATGTGTACACAGCTAGGTGGGCCAGCTCCTTTCTGTGTTCACACGTGACCTGCTGACCTGCCCATCCCAGGCTTCTCCTAGGCTCATTCTCCCAAAGAGAGCAGCCCAAACTGCCAGACGGCTCACATTGGAGGCGTCTCGGAATTGGCCTCTGAAGCTGACCACTTGGCCACTGGCTAGCAGGCCTAGAAGGGGATGTTGGTGTCTCCTATCTCTTCTCTGCCTTTCTGATGCTCAGTGGCAGCCTCAGAGTCCCTGAGGAATCAGCAACCGCCAGTTGTTTCAGGGCAGGGACTGAGGCGACCATAGTGTTGGTGGAATGGTGAAGACCCTCCCAGAGGAAGCCCGCCCGCCCCGCCCCCGCTCGGCTGTGGAACAGGTCTCTTCCTCCCTCCCCAGGGACTAGGCCCTCCCAGTTACCACTCCCCACCCCCTCCCCCCCCCCACCCCCCGTGGCCCTGCTGTTCTGAGTCCCTTCAGTTGATCCCCACTTGCTCACTCAGACACTGGCTCCTGAGGCACAGTATCTGCCCTCTGTTCCCACCTCCCACTTCTCAGGAGAGCCCCTCACCATTGCTTCTCCAGCCGGCGCCTCAGCTCCGGCTCTTGGCTCAGCTCCTCACACCGCTCCCCTGTTCAGCAACAAGGCCTTTTTCCTGTCAGCCTCTTGTCTCTGCTCACCCCAAATTGCCATCTCTGTCTCTTTGCTCTCCAGAAACCATCTCCTTTTTTCTCTTTCAAACAACTGTTTTTCAGAGCAGCCTTCTCAGCTCATCTGCCCACATCCTTTGTGCACCCCTCACCCCCTGGACAAGCCAAGCAGTGGACCTGGGGGAGGGTAAGAGTGGCTGGTCACCTAGGGATCTAGTGATAGGTCTATTCTGGCCTCACCCAGTGTGGCCCGGACGTGGTCCCGCCACCTCAGCCTCCTCAGGAGATGGGCTGGCCTTTCTCCCTTACACCAGGATCCCCCACCACGTGGGTGTTTTTTCTGGGAGCAGTAGTTCTCCCACCCTGGCAACGGGACTCACTGAGGACCCCAGCATTGGGGACCAGACAGACATCAGCTTCAATCTTCCCCCAAATGATGAGTGGCTGCTCACTCACCCCAACCCCTAGCTTCCTTCATCTGTAACACAGGGTCCTGAAGAATGCCTGCCTTGCAGAGAGGGTGTGAACTGG